TGCTTTAGATACATTTTGTTTACCACTTCTAGTCTTGTATTCACACTGATCACATTAATCTCTCCATGCCTCAATTTTTACCAGCAATAAAATGTAAGGTTTAGTTTAAGAGACAAATTCTATCCCACAAGATTTTGAGAATAGAGAATGAACAGATTTGAAACAAACAAAAAAAGATAAGCAAGGATGTTTTTTTAATGGCATATTTTTTTTTCTTTTTATCTAATACAGCCTTGAATTATTTGACACTATTCCTTTTTAAAACTCTATTTATGAGCAATCTCCCTAGCTTCTATTAGCTACATTGCAATCACTCATTTATAATACCACCTTTCAGAACAGTTAAAATTAGAATTCTGAGATCCTCAGGGGACTGGTGATATAAAAAGGCTAAGAACAGGGAAAATACATTGTACTATTCCTCCTGAGTTCCTGATTAGATGTCCTCATTACCCCTTCCAATAAAATTCTATAATAGCTGGAATTTATCACATTGGTACATTAAACAACAGTATAAGAAAAGAAAGTTCTTCTCATGCATCATTCACTAGTGAAGAAATTATGAAAAAAGGTATGTTTTCTATAAAATATTTTCAAGGTTCAAAGTAAACAAACGCTTTATGTTTTTCCTCATGTGTCTTTTTCAAAAAATCACTAAATACAAATACTGCTTTCTATAGGCTGAGAGCTTTTACACACTCATTATGTTCGAAATTGGATGATTAAAAGAAAAATATAATTTCTATTCATCTTGAAAGGAGAGAAGCAAAGCATGGGTGAGAAAGAAAACATTCCAACTACAGCTAAGCATTATTAATCTAATGGTATAAAAAAATAATATCTCTACATTTCCAATGAGCAATTTTTCCTCATCAGGAGACAATAACTTCACATGTTTCACTTTTAAATGAAATTACAGAGAAATGGAAAGTTCAGCTAATATTTTCTTCCAGCAAAATGACAAATGGCATCTCAAGCATGGTCTCAGGAAGACAAATGCAAATACAATACAGCATCATATTAACCCAACTCTTGAGGACAGGGGATCACAGGATTATCAGGGTTTGCTAAATAGGGAAGACGGTATTTATAGATATCAGGGTTCTGCCTGAAAGGGACAAAGTAAGCTGATTTGAGAGACTGGACAAAAGTGCAGAATAAGTCTACTCTGTGCTTCTATTCATATATATCTATATTTTAATGTCAAACGAAGGGAAACAGCCATTATAAGTCAATTTTATTATGGGGCTGAGTTTCGAGGTATTCAGTTCAGTTCAGTTGCTCAGTCGTGTCCGACTCTGCGACCCCATGGACTGCAGCACATGGACTGCAGCACACCAGACCTCCCTGTCCATTACCAACTCGAAATACAAGGAAATGAATTTTTAGTGTACTTTTGGTCAATATAATCTATTCATTCATTTATCTTAAACACCCATAATGTGCCCCAACCAAGTACAATGACAACAGAGATAGGATCTCTGTGTAGGATGTGTACTCCTATGATATGAAATAAAGGCAATTTAAGAAAGAGGAACTTTAGTTAATTGGGTATTGTGGGTTATCAGCAATGTATCCACACAAGTTACCTGCACCCTGGTGGACAGAAGTGGTCTGACTCAGCCACAAAACATTTGAACAGTTTTTTATAGGCAAATCATGAACAGATATGCTGTTACCGATGGATATTTTATCTGCCTCAGTTTAAACTCAGCGACTGGCAGAGGCCGAGTGTGCTGACCTAAAATGACACAAACTAGGTCATTCAAAGAAACTGGGATGATGGAGAGGGAGAGAGGAATATGTTGGTACATGGAAAATAAATGTGGCTGTGAGGAGCAGCTAAAAATTAAGTATTAAAATTAGTAAGCCAACTGGCAAGTACATGCACTCCCCATAACTACCTTAAATGGAACAGACTTTAATTTATTTTTACCTCACCAAAAAAACACTGGTGCTGCCCAATGAGGCCTTGTTAATTTCCAGGAACTCCTATAGCTTTGTTAGGGAGAACTTCACCCAAATCTTGTCTTCTTTCTCCTTATCTCTCTACTAAATAAATACAATGTTCCCTGAGGAACAAAATACTGGCATCTCCTCAATTGGAGTGGGTTCTTACTTCATCAGTCTTAATGAAAAATACATTATGGGCTTTAGAGTTTCATAGACTTTTATTCAACATCCCGATGGGTAACCTCTGGCATAGTTTCATCTAGAAAATGGGAACAATATTTATATCTCAAGAAAAATGCTATGAAGATTCAGTCAGATGATGTATGAAGCATGCACATAGAGGGAACTCAAAACAGTTGTTGTGTTTATATGTTTCTACTTTTCACCGACCATTTTTGACCAGAAAACATAAACTTGGGAACAATCTTCAAATGTCAAACATGCCTGATAAATACCACTAACTTTATATATTCAGAAATTACTCCATAAATAATTCCTGAATGGAGGATTCATCTACTAAATAACTGTGATTAGTTATGCACAAAAATTACTGTCAACTTAGTATTTCACCAAGGACTTGGTATCCTAAGGCAGGGGTAAAATAGCTGAACTTCTAGGGGTTCAGAGAAATCAATAATGGGTTTTTGTTGCTGTATTCCAAATTTTAAAAGAATAAATATATATTAGTCATAGCTGAAGGATTAAGACAATAAATAAACATGGAACTCTTGTAGAGTTACTATGGGGACTCATGGTTATCAGATATGACATACTTAATCATACCACTGACCCTTTAAATTCCTTGTTCCACTTACAGTTCTAAGAATAGCCATACTTTTGGAGATAGAAAAAAAGTGTATTTTGGAAATCAGATGAAGACTCCTGAATAATTTGCCCTAATTCCTTATTGTTTATTGTAGGAAAAAAAATAAAAAAAGAAAAACAAAATCTGTCTTGATCACTGAATACAACAGTTGTATACAACAGTGTTGTATACACTGTCAATTTGTTGTATACAGTGTCAATCTGTACCTGGAAACATAAGCAGTGGCTAATTTATTGTGGCTTGTAATTATAAATTAAACAATCATGAAATTACACAGGCCACTTCACTGATAAACAAACTGGGAGAAGTTAGCCAGCTCGCATGCATTTCTCCTTTATGATGCCATCCCTTTCTCCGTTGGTTTGGCATGCCTTTTTCATTTCAATTCTAGTTATTTTCTGTGTAAATATTTATGTTTGTACTCATTTGTTGAGAAAAACTTAGCCTTTAAATGGACAGCTCATGTATAAACGATTAATAAAAAGCAAACATGTAAAAATCTGTTTAGCCCGAGGTTAATAAAACTGCAATGTAGCAAGTGTTGAAATGTGATTGGCAACTTCAGATCCAATAATGTTACTTCTTTAACAATCTGACAATGTTAAATCAATTGAAATAAATTTTTCCTATCAAAATTTACTCATTGGATAATCTAACCAAGTGTACATGTGTTGTTTTTTTTTTTCCTTCTGGACATCTAGCTTTTTCTTCATAAATCAACAGAAGTGGTTCAACAGTTCTAAAAGTCAAAAAGGGACTGAAGTTGGGACAGGGAAGTAACTATAAGCTTGAGTGCTCTCTGCAGTTGGTAAATTTATCAGTCTGCTCCAAACGCTCCAAAATAAAATTTTTCTTCCACTAGTTTTAAAACCACTCGATTTCATTTTAATACTCTCCAATTAACTGCAGAGAAATCAACAAGGAACAGAGTCAAGCGTCAAATATGTCACATAATTTAAGTATTTGGGAAAGCTTTATTCTGGCCTGAAGAGAAAAAGCTAGCCCCAAATTGATGGTCTCTCTCCCTTTTTAATCTACACCAAACTGAGATTAAGGCCTTTGCTTCTGGTGTGGTCATATGCAAAGGAAGGTGGCAACAGGTCCGAAGTAAAGACTAAGGATCGGGCAGCAAATCTGCCTCCACCAACACGTACTGAACAGGAGGCTGGCTATCACCAACAACCAGACCTTGCAGAACCCTCAGCAAATAAAAAACTCGGGACTGCAGAAGCGCGCCCGACACGCAGACACCGAGACTGCTTAAAATACATCCCTTCCGAGCGGCACCTCTTAGTGTCCGGGGATTTACACCCTTACCCCCCAGAGGCCCTCACACCGCGAGGAACAGGAGAGCTGGGCTACCATCTCCCCTGGTACCGCCAGCGCGACCTCAAAGACAGCAGCGCTGGCCCTTCTCCCCGCTTCTAGCCGGGCACTGGTGAACCCCACTTTCCTGCGGCACTGGGAGGCCGATTCCTTGGGAAGATTTAATCCTGCGTGCAGAAGCTGCTCTCCGCAGCTCCTAGGATCCGCCCTCATCCCAATCCCCAGGGTAATGATGGAGCCCTGGCTGCGTACCGCGACAACCCAGCACCCTTCCAGACCCTTCCCCTAGTTTCGGACAGGTTGCAAGCCCCGCCTTCCTCCCCAGGCCCAGATTCCCTCCAGGGCCCACACTCGGGGCTCCCTGCCGCCCCCCGAAACCAATCCAGGACCCGGACATCAAGCTGAGCGCCAGTCCGTTCCCTCCTGTCTTTAAGCGCGGTGGCCTCCCTTGGGCCAGGGGTAGGGAGGCAGGTGACCGACCAGATCCGGAGGGACCCAGGCCCCCACACTCACCATCCTCCCGCCGAGTCCCTCCTCCTCCTCCTCCTCCTGCCTCCCCCGTTACCAGGGGCAACTGCTACGGCGCCGCCCCCGACGTCCCCCGTACGCAAGGCGGAGGAGCAAAGCAGCAGGACGGGGCGGGGTCCAGCTCCGCTTTCCCCAATGTGCGCAAGCGCGCCAATGTGCCCTCCCACTGCGCAGGCGGGCTGCTGGAGCGGCCGGAGAAGGCGGCAGGCTGCAGAGACCCGGGGAATGGTGAAACCTCGCCCACGTGGCCGGCGGGGGCCACCCGGCTTGTGATTGGTCCAGGGGGAGGGCGTTAGGGCGGGGCGAGGGGAGGTTCCCGGGCGGAGGCCAGAAGTGCATCCTGGCCTGGCTGCCAAAGCGCGCTGCTTCTGGAGGCAGCTGTGTCAGTGCGTTTCTCCTGGGACCAGGTGAGGATCTTGAGAGGAGGCCTCCTGCAACATCTACCTGTGCCAGGTTTTATTCCCCACATCCCAGGAGGGAGTTTGCGTTTCTGTCCTGTCTCTGCCCAGGCGAGGCTGCAGCGCGGGCTGGGCTTCCACCTGCCAAAGCCACGTGGCAAGAGAAGGAGCTACCTGTGGACCTCGTTAGGGCCTCCAGTACCTTCGTGTGCTAGGCTGAGGAACGGGGGCGTCATGGGTTGCGCACCCGTCTCCACACATCTGTGTTAGAATCCGGGCTGGAGGAGCCCTCGTAGTGGGAGGCTGCCTACAGGAGGGCAAGAAGCTGCCTGAGGACTGGCCGTGAGGGCTGGGATGAGCTGATCGTTTACGGGGGTGAAAGGCGTTTGGGATGGATGGCTTTGCTGAACCAAGTTGGCAGGGTCGGTGCGCCGCCTGCAGCCCTGAAGGAGGCAAAAATGGGCCTCCACTTATAGGCAAGAAAGAGTGAGAGAGATTCTGGGTGCTATTTCCCACCCCTTCCCCGTGCAGAGGACAGGAAGAAGAGTTACCGTATTTGTGCCCGGTCCTAGTCTAGACTCTGGAGACACAGCAGGGGCTAAATCTGCCCTCATGGAAGTCACATCCTTCCCAGTGAGATGCTTTTCATACAAGCTTTCATTTCATTCTCACAGCCCTAGAAATTGGTTATTTTAAGGGTTAAGAGTGGGGACTTGAATCCAGTACTTTCTGACTCTTGAGGAATTATTATTTTTGGCCGCTCCTCGCGTGGCATGTGGGGATCTTTGCTCCCCAACCAGGGATTGAACCTGTGCCGTTGCAGTGGAAGCAGAGTCTTAACCACTGGAATGCCTGGAAAGTCCCTGGGCTTAGCTATTGTTAATAGTTTCCTCCAGGTTTGGGGCTTTGCTGCTTTTAAGACCAGCAGGTTTTCAGCCTAGTTAAGATTGTTGGAATGAAGGCAGATTTTCCCTGAATGGTTCTTAACAATTTATGTATTCAAGTCAAGTTTCCACCTATCTCTAGCCTGCTGGTTCTAGTGTGAAAAAGGCAAAGCAGACTTCTCTTCTGAAATTGCTTGGATTCTAACATCACGGCTGCCAGGGAGTCATTTGATTGTACATAGGCATATACTACCAGGGTCTGCTGGTTTAATTATTAGTCTCATTCTCTGAGTTGAGCTAGGTAGCCTTGACATCAGCCCTTGACATCTCAGTGGACTTTGTGTTTGAACTGCTTGAGTCTTTGACTGCCTTGATCTTCCTCTGATGGGAGTACCAGCGATGATGTTTTGTTTTTTTCCCCTAGTAGGGGATTCAAATAGGAGATCTTGGGTGCTTCCCCGCCCTTGCAAAAGGACACTCTAAAAGAGTTTGGAAAGCCTGTTTCCCAAACTCTGATACTGTCTGCTTGAGAAAATCAGCTCTCCCTGGAAGGACGAGCATTGCTTAAGGAAAGTTAGTAGGTTATATAATTTTTAAAATATTTTCCCTTCTTTCCTCGTTTTCTCTCTTTCTTGAGACAAGCACCTTTTAATGGATAAGAGGACCCATCTAGGTGACTCTAAGCCTTGTGACTTTGTGGTCTCTCTTTTTTTTTTGTCCACTCTGCACTGCCCCCTTGGCAGTGAAGGGTGGAGTCCTAACCGTTGGACCATTAAGGAATTCCTGTCTAAGCCTTATAACCTTGGGAAAATACGGCCCTAGCTGTTATCAGATTTTTGGATAAATAAGACTAGATCTGTTTCCTGCTTACATTTTTATCTGCCACAGTGCAGGACCATGTCTGCCATAAACGCTCACCACGCTAGCTCAATGCATGGGAGCCTCCTTGGCATCAGTTTCTTCATCTGTAAGTTGAGATCTTGGATCCCTAATGTCTTTGAGCTGTGACATTCTCTAATCCTGGAAGGAAAGGGAAGTATTGGTCAGTCACCTGTTTGATTTCCACCTCTCCCCCATTCCCTGTAGTGGAACCCTGGATATCATAGTCACCTTTTAGGAAGTATTAGATATGGCTTGTGTAGGAAGAGGGAGTGTAACTGCTGAAAACTCAGCAACCAGTAGGACTCAGTATAGGAGGGGTAGACAGTTTGCAGCTTCATGAAAGAAAGCCTGTTCTTACTTTTGTAACAAAGGCAGGTTCTGAGTTTGACAAAAAAAGAAAAGACGTGGGGGACATCCTTGATGTCTGGAGAACCCAAGAATAAGTCAGAATGCATTCCGGCCGGCAGTAAGTGTTTTTAGAGGGCAGATGAGGACTATAGCATGCACCTTACAGTCTGTCAGGGGAGGCAGATTTTACACTAATAAGCATCAAGAAAGCGACAATTACAAAAGTCCCTCGTGCTGCAAATGAGGACAAGATACTATGGGATTATGTAACCGAAGGGCTTGAGTTTGCCCTGAAGGAATCACAGAACTGTCCCCTTGGGGGCCAATGGAATGGGAAAAAATGTTAAGACATAGAATTTAGATTTTTTTTCCTTTTATAAACAGGACAAGGATGTTCCTTGGTAATGAAGGCAAAGATTCTTGCATGACTTAGCAAATGATTACCCCTTCATGGTAGAAGTGCTCTCACTGTGAAAGAAAGAGGATTTTCCAGTGTTGGATTGTTCAGTTGAGAGTGGAGAGGGATGGCCGAGAAGTGTGTGTGTGTGTGTGTGTGTTGAAGGGGAGGCATAGCATTGGGACTGTCTCCATCTGGTGCAAGTGTGGGGCTCTATAAGCCAAGGCTTACTGTTTTTCCTTCCTCTAGAATAAAGGGGAACTCTTTCCCCCTCCTGGCTTCAGCTGGGACTGGGTGAAATGCCTTTGGTCTTTGCAGCAGCCCCCCTGCAGAAGCCACGTCAGCCTGTCCTTAAGGACAGAGCCTGGAGCTTCTCCTGGGCTCTGGTAGGTGTGAGAGGGGCACGTGTCCCCCTCCTTAACAGTCGAAAAGTTGCCATCTGCTTCGCTCTACCTCATCTGTGGGCTGCTTCTGCCTGCTCCCTCTCTAGCTGTGCTCAGATTTTTGATGGGTTACCTCTTAAATATAGTGGTCTTCCTGGGTATTTCCGTGGATAACTGCTCTTCCCAGTCTGCATTTTCTCGTTTGAAAACTTTATCTTAAACCACCCCCATGTTGCTCCCTCCCTGTTTTACTTCTAACCCTGGTCTCCCTGCTGGGTTTTAAGCCCAAATATCCAATTGCGACTGACTGGACCTCTTCTTTAGCAAATACTCGAATTGCTTTGCTGGACATTGAGGCAACGGTGGTGAGCAACATGGACACAACTCCTGGCTTTAAGGAGCTAATGGCTTAGTGGGGGACGGTGGGCATTAATTCAGGTAAAACCAGAGTATCACACATGGCATGGCTCTGAAGGACGAGTACAGAGCCAGGAGCTCACAGCAGTGCATGCGAGGGAGGAAGGGGTCCTTCAGAGACTTCTCTGAGCAAAGGTTTCAACCAAGATCTGAGGGATGGGTAGGTGCTTGTCATCCACACTGTCTCTGCAGAGCAAAAGGCTACTTTTGGGGGAGGGCAGGGGAGTCCTGGAGATTACTTGCTAATGCACCTGCTTTTAAGGCTGCTATTTATTCTGAGGTGACTTTGCTGTAACTTCCCTTGCAGCTGTAATAACCCATGGGTCTTTACTGAGGTAGTGTCTTGAGTGGAAGTTTCCTTTCATTCTACTATGTAATATAAAACATTTATTCTTTACTAGGTCTGTGGCTTCCGTCAGCAATGTTTCCTTTCTCTAATGGGAAATCCTGGCTTTGTTTGCTCAAGTCTGTGAATGCCTTGGATCTACATGATTGTATAACTCAAGAAGATAGCTTTATTTTTTAATTATTTTCTTTTGGCCACACTACGTGGCATGTGGGATCTGGGTTCTCCAACCAAGAATCGAACTCGCACCCCCTGCAGTGGAAGTGTGAAGTCTTAAACTGGACCACCAGGGAAGTCCACCTAGCTTTTTTTTAAAAAAACATGTTAACCACTATCATTTTCACTTTATATATTTTGGCACTGAATTATTACAAAAATTACTTCTATAACTTAAAGTTTTCAGAATGAGAAAAACAAATGGCCAAAAACATGAATAGATGCTTAATCTCATTAAGAATCAAGAAAATACAATTTAGGAGCTTCTCTGATGGTCCAGTGGTTTAGATTCTGTACTTCCACTGCAGGGGGCACAGGTTCGATTTCTAGTAAGGGAACTAAGATCCAACATGTTGCACAGTGCTGCCAAAAAAATTTTTTTTAATAAATTTAAAAAATATATAAATGAAAATAACAATATTATTTCTGCCCATCATATTGGAAAGGAAGAAAAGATTTATTTATCCATATTGGTAAAAGTTTGACTAAAGGAGCATTATCATATACAACTGGTGGAAAAATCAATTTGAATTATATTTATAAAGATTTCATTTAAAACATGTACGTCCTTTGATCCAGCAATTTCACTTCTAGAAATCTACCTTAAAGGTATAGTTGTGGCATTTCCCTGATGGTCCAGTGGTTAAGACTACACTTCCAATGCAGGGGGCGCAGATTTGATCCCTGGTCGGGGAGGGAACTAAGGGGTTTCCCAGGGGGTGCTAGTGGTAAAGAACCTGCCTGCCAGTGCAGGAGACATAAGAGATGCGGATTTGATCCCTGGGTCGGGAAGACTCCCTGGATTAGAGCATGGCAACCCATTCGGTATTCTTACCTGGAGAGTCCCGCAGACAGAGGAGCCTGGTGGTTACAGGTCATGGGGTTGCAAAGAGTCAGACATGACTTAAGCAACTTAGCATGCACACCAAGGAACTAAGATCCCACATGATGTAGTAAAAAAAAAAAAGATATAGCTGCCATATACACAAAGTAATGTATATAAGGATACTCTCAGCAGTGAAAAATTGATAATAACCCAAATGTCTACAAAAGGATGAAATTAAGGCACATGGAATAGTATGTAATAATTGAAGAGTGAGATGGAGCTGTATATATAAAATGGAGAATTCTCTAAGATGCGAAGCAAAAAAGTAAGTTGTGTATCAGTGCCAGTTAGTTTATCGCTCCTTAGCTCCAAATCTACCCTTTTTCTTCGGGCCTTGTGATCCTAGACGTAAACCTTTTTCCTTTGCCCTCTGATATGATTTTAAGCTCTACCAGTAGAGGGCGCTGGAGGAGCACCGATGAGAAAGGGGTGGTCTTCCGGGTGCCTGGGTACTTGCCTCCTGTCTGTCAAGTTTCAGCAACACCCTACCTGGCAGCTTCCGGTTAGGTTCCCTCAGCATCTCGGTACGCAGCTTCCCAGAATCTCAGTGGCTTCCTGGTGAGTTTCATCAGCCCTCCGACTCAGCATTCCAGCTCCTCCAGTTTCCTGCCTGCCAGCCCTTCAGGGGGCAGCGCCTCAGCAAACTTTGAAGAAGACTGCTCAAGGCGTGCCTGTGAACTTGTAATTCAATATATATGAAGATTCTCAGGTGGTTTTTTTTTTTTTTTCAAGAAAAAAAGACAAATGATATAGTAGAAGAAGATATATAAGTTAAGTCTCAAAATTATTCCTTAAGAAAACAAACAAACAAACAGATGAGCAGGTATTATTTAGTGAAGAGGGAGAGGAAGAGCATCCTAGACCAGCATTTGCAAAGGAGAAGCATGAGGACTTCCCTGGTGTCTGCTTACTGCAGGAGACCCGGGTTCAGTCCCTGGGTTGGGAAGATCTCTTGGAGAAGGAAATGGCAACTCATCCCAGTATTCTGGCCTGGAAAATCCCATGGATGGAGGACCGTGGTAGGCTACAGTCCATGGGGTCGCAGAGTTGGACATGACTGGGCAACTTCACTTTCTGAGACAGATGGCAGCCTCTTGCGTTTGAGGAAGTCTCATAGCACTTGAAACTCAACATGAGGAAACTAACTCAGTGTTTTCTCCCTTAAAGCCAGTTTTTCTGTATTCTCAGCATGTTACTGTCCCAGTCAGAAACCCTATCGCTCTAAGGATTGTGATGACCAGAGGAACTCACCAGGACTCCCTCTCTGCTCTGCTTCCAGTTTGAGGGGCTGCTGAGGGAGTAGTCACTTTGTAACATCCACACGCCTTCTTTTGGTTATTAGACCAAACGCTGATTCACATACTGTGGAGAAGGGATCTTACAAATGTAATTAAAGTCCCTAATTGGTTGACTTTGAGTTAATCTAAGGGGAGATTATCCTGGGTGGCCTGACTTAATCAGATGGAATCCCTTTAAAAAAGGGCTGGGCCCCTCCAACCTGAGGTTAGGAATTCTAAGAGATAGGTAGACAGACAGGTAGGTAGATCTCCTATTGATTCTGTTTCTGTGGTTGAGCTCTGACTGATAGAATTCCTGCTATACCCAATCACTTGGCACATCCTCAGGTTTGGCTACTTTAAATGCTTCTCTGCTTTTGGTCTTCCTTCCACATCTGGTGCATCTGGTTTACTTGAGCCCCATTTCTTCTTGCCTAGATTATTGGGGGTTCCCTTCCAGCTGGTCTCAGCGTCCTCTGACGTCTTGCCACACCCTGTTTACGTCCATGTAATTGCCTAGACTGTTCTTTCTAAACTACACATCTAATCTTATCACTTTTCCTAAAATTTGTTAGTGGCTTCCTGAAACTTTCAGGCAGAAGTTCAAAACCCATAGCTTTTTTACATGACTCTATTTTTTTCCTCCTCGCTGGCATATAGATCATATGTCTTTTGAAAATTTTTTTTAGTGGTTGCCCTAAAGTTTGCTGTATATATTTACAACTAGTCCAAGCCCATTTTCAAATTATACTGTCCCACATCACGGATAGTCCAAGTACCTTAGAGTCTTCCCAGCTTCTCCATCCCATCTATTATAGCATTGTTGTCATTCCTTCTTTTTTTTTAAAGTAAATATTTATTTATTTTATTTTTGGCTGCACTGGGTCTTTATTGCTGTGTACAGGCTTTCTCTGGTTGTGACAAGCAGGGGCTGCTCTCTAGCTGTGGTGCGCCGACTCCTTATTGCCGCACCATTGTGGAGCACAGTCTCTAAGGCATTCAGGCTCAGTAGTTAACAGCGCATGGGCTTAGTTGCCCCACAGCATGTGGGGTCTTCCCTTAGCAGGGATCGAACCTGTATCCTCTGCATTGGCAGGGGGACTTTTAACCACTGGACCACCAGGGAAACTCCCATTCAGGTTTTCAAAATATGAATTTATTTATTTATTCAGCTGTACTGGGTCTTCACTGTGGCATGTGGATCTTTAGTTGCACCATGTGGGATCTTTAGTTGTGGCATTCAGGACTTTTCATTGTGAAATACAAACTCTTAGTGGCATGTAGGATCTAATTCCTGACCAGGAAACAAACACATGCTTCCTGCCTTGGGAGCACAGGAGTCTTAGTCACTGGACCACCAGGGAAGACCCCCATTTCCGTCTTTATCTGTGACTGTTTCTACTTTCAATGTGACCCCATGCCTTTTCTCCTGCAGAATGATCTCTCCTACCTTCTGGGGCTTCACCCACATTCCACTTCTTTTGGGAAGCCCCCCTTGATTTTTGTGACCCTGTCCCCAACTCAGCTTCCTCTTATCTTGTGCTTATCATAGCCGTCCGTGTTATCTGCTGTTCCACAGGTGGGCTCTTGTTCCCCAGTCAGACTCAGCTCCCCAAGGACAGACCCTGTATTGTCCCTTTCCCCTTTCTTGCCCCCTGCATGATCATGCCCTGGGCTGGCCACTGGCAGGCACTCAGGAAACATTTGGTGTCCAGTGGCCCAGATGGGTGACAGTTCACTGGGCTCTTCCTGACCTGAGTGAGGTGATGCTAGCGGCTGGGGTGAGCTGTCTCCTATAGTGGGAGGTGCTCAGGGCCTCTGGGGAAGGTTTTGATTCGGGGGACAGTCCTCATTTTCCCTCTGTTCTGAAGTTCACAATTTTGTGTATGGGCAGGATGGAGGCTGATCCGTCTGACTTTAACATTGATGCCCCCCGTTGGGACCAGTGCACTTTCCTGGGGCGGGTGAAGCACTTCTTCAATATCACGGACCCCCGCACAGTCCTGGTACCAGAGCGGGAGCTGGACTGGGCCAAAGTGATGGTGGAGCAGAGCAGGTGAGTGGCTGGGAGACGGGCCAGGGCAGCATCGTTGGGTGCCCTAGGGGACAGGTGGAAATGGAAAATGAGGGGATAGGCAGGGAGCTCAGGGAGGTGGGGGAGCCAAGAGCAGGATGACTCAGGGTGGAGGTTGGGAGGTAACATCCGCCTGTTGTCTTTGGGTGACAGGATGGGGACTGTGCCCCCGGGCACCCAGGTGGAGCAGCTTTTCTATGCTAAGAAGCTGTACGACTCGGCCTTCCACCCTGACACTGGGGACAAGATGAATGTCATTGGGCGGATGTCCTTCCAGGTCCCTGGCGGCATGATCATCACGGGCTTCATGCTCCAGTTCTACAGGTGCGACTGGGGAGCAAGGCAGTGCCAGGGGCGCCACTTAGACCTGCTAGGGAGGGAGCCATCTTTACTGATTCCTTACCAGATACCAGACACTGTGTTCAATTATTCGCATATATCACCTCATTTAATCTCAGCAGCCCTACAGAGAGGTACTGTCTTCATCTTCATTTTACAGATGAAGAACTGCAGTTCTAGAGAGGTTATGTAACTTGTCCATGTGCACCAGCCAGGAAATAGTGGTGCATGGCTATATGAACTGAGGCAGTTCTTTCTAGGACACTCAATGACTGAACTCTTCTACTTCTTTAAAAAGTACTTATTGAACAATGAATTTAGTGTATTTTTATAACATAATACCCAAAAAATTAAAAAATGGGAAGACACTTTCAGTCCAGTTGGAGAGAGACTTTCTCTGTTCCCCTTCCTCTTTTCTCTCCACCTCTTCCCTCCCTAACACATTCGGTTAGCCAATTGTTGAGCCAGACCTTGGGCCAGGTAGAAAGTAAAAGTGTTAGTCGCTCAGTTGTGTCCGACTCTTTATGAGCCCATGGACTGTAGCTCACCAGGCTCCCCTGTCCATAGAATTCTCCAGGCAAGAATACTGGAGTGGGTTGCCATGCCCTCTTCCAGGGGATCTTCCTGACCTGGGGATCAAACCTGGGTCTCCCACACTGCAGGCAGATTCTTTACTGTCTGAGCCACCAGAAGCCCACCCCTCAAGGAGCACCCAGTTTTGTTGAGACCAAGAAGGAACAGTTACAGTCTAGCTTGCCAAGTGGTAGGCTGGGGGCAGAATATGGGGTGGTGGGAGCAGACATCATGGAATGACTAACTGTGTCTCAGGAAGGACAGGGGAAGGGTCAGGAAGGTTCCAAGGAAGAAGAGATCTCTCCAGAGAGCAGGATTCAGCCGTATACCAAGAGGCTGGGGGTGTGGATGTTCCAGGCAGAGGGGCAACCTGTGCAGAAGAGCAGGTACAGGAGACAGCATGGGAATGGCCTGGGGAGTGGCAGGTTTGATTGGTGTCCCCGAGTGCTCCTCCCATCCTCCTCCTGCCTCTCCCCTCCTCTCTCCTGGTAGGACGATGCCAGCAGTGATCTTCTGGCAGTGGGTGAACCAGTCCTTCAATGCCTTAGTCAACTACACCAACAGGAATGCGGCTTCCCCCACGTCGGTCAGGTAGGAGGCCTGAGCCCCTGCTGTCTGTGTGGGCCTGGAGCTGTCTTCTTGCCTTAGGGGGAACAGCCCTTCTTAAGGGGTTCCGGGGCTGTCTATCCTCCCTGGGTGGGGCCTGCCCTGGGTGGGTGACTAGGTCTCTCTTTTCAGGGTTTGGAAGTACTAAGTGGATTAGGAGAGTATCTTCTTCCTAGATGAATTCAACATTCACTCATTCATTCATGCTACCAATATGTCTAGAGTGTGTATTAGGTGTTGGACAGGGTCCTAGGGGCAGGGGATACATTTGAGTAAGACATGTGTGGTCTCTGGAGTTTAAGGTCTTTTTAGGAAAATAAGCATAATGGTCTCAGTCTGTGATAGCTGCCATTAAGGAAATAAACAGATGACATGCTGGAGAACAACAGAAGGGCGTCTGTACAGGTAGGCCAGGTCAAGGAAGTCCTTTCTGCAGAGCTGATGTTTCAGCTGAGTTTTGAAAGGTAAGGATTTAGCCATGCAAGAGCCTGGGGAAAGATTCCCAGGAGAGGGAGTGGCAGCATGCAGAGGTTCTGAGCAGGCAGGCACTTGGTGTGTTTAATGTACTGAAAGGAGCATCTGAGTGAGTTGGAGGGAGATCCCAAGCTGAAGCCGAGGTTTTCAGGCATGAAGCCACATTTCCAGCCTTTATCACCCAAGCTTTCGTCCTGCCCTCAGCCACCTGGAGTCCCCACTCCCAAACATCTCTCTCCTCCACTAGGCAGATGGCTGTTTCCTACATCACAGCCACAACCACCGCAGTGGCCACTGCTGTGGGCATGAACATGTTGACAAAGGTACAGTCTGGGGCCGCTATGGACATGGTGGTCACAAGGGGGCAGCAAAGTCCTAGGGAAAACTTTTTTTTTCCCAGGTATGGGTGGTTTCCCAGGCTGGAAGAGTTGGGTTTGGGTCAGAGCCTAGCCAAGTAGTGGGAAGTTCAGCAGGGCTGTCCCACGTTGGTTTTTCTCCGGCTTTTGAGGGAATTTGGGTTCCCTGACTGGGTGTCAGGATATGTGGTGGTAGTGAGGTCTGATTTCTTATTTTATCGTCCTAAAGCCCCTTCCACCCCCGTCTTCCAGGGAGCTGACCTACACCCCTTGTCGTCTTCCCCCACAGAGAGCCCCGCCCCTGGTGGGCCGCTGGGTGCCCTTTGCCGCTGTGGCTGCAGCTAACTGTGTCAACATCCCCATGATGCGCCAGCAGTGAGTACAGGGATCCCTTTTCCTCCCTGTAAACCGCAAAGTCAGCAGGGACAGGGCAGGCGGCCAAGGCAATGGGTGGCTTTGGCGGCTGAGGTGGGGGTGGGGAGGGCTGCATCCGAGGATCAGTGGCTCCAATAGTGATGGCTGCAGGAGTGGCAGGTGACCTGGGTTTTGTCTGTGATGAGTGCTGTGGGAGTCATTCTCTGGATGGATTTGGAGGTTTAGCATGGACCTGCGGGGTTTGGCACCAGCTCATGTCCTTTCAACTACAACTGTATTTAAGTCGTGAACTTGGCCTACTTCCAGAGCCCTGGGGATGGCTCACAGAATGAAACGCAGCAGAGCGAGGTATCCAAAGATAAAACAGAACCAAGAGGCTCGGAGGGAAGCCAGAGGGGTAGATAGATGTTTTCCAGCTGCCAGGCTCTAAGCTTCACAGCAGGAAAGGGGAAAGGAGAAACCCACTGTGTCTCACAGCTCTTGTTCCTTGACTAGAGAAAGCGAAGATATTCCCCTGCCACAAAATTTAATAATGTAATAGATGTAAAGCACTCAAAATAGCACCTGGAATGTAATATTAAGCATTAGCTACTGCTCCCACAGTTGCCATCGATGCCTTCCTGGCTGTCACCGATGTCACAAGGCACATTTTCTTAGGACCAGTAGTCAATGGAAAGTGATCACAATCACCCTTGTAGAAAGAGCACACCGTAGAACAGCCGTGTATGCTCTCTACTCGACTCCTCCCCCTCCCCCATCCAGTTGCTCCTTCCAACGAATGAATGAGTCCCCACCACCACCCACCTGGTCTCGGATGGAGTGCTGGCTTGAATATAATAGCCAGAGTGGCTCATGTTTGTGGAGTCAGGCATTGGACCCAGCACTTGGCAGGCATCATCCCGTTTAATCCTCACCAAATCCTAAGTGGGCACCGTGATTATCCCCATTTTGCAGATGAGGGTAACTGTGTCTTTGGAAGGACTAGGGAACTTGCTCAGGAGCATACACTTGTTCTGCAGCTTCCAGATCTAGCCTAGGCAGCCAGGACCTGGCACTTGCTCTCTGAGCCTCTGCCCTAGATATCTGCGGTATCACTCTCTGGAGTGGGGAAGGCTGCTCCAAGGGCCAGGCTGCAGGAGGTGACTTCCTAGAGCTGGAATGCCCTGGCCCCAGTCCCCTGGTGTGTCACATCGCTGGCGGGCTTCCAACACACCCCTTTCCCGCGTCCAGCACCTCCTGTCTGTGTTTAGGGAACTCATCCAGGGAATCTCTGTGAAGGACAGGAACCACAATGAGATCGGTCATTCCCGGGTGAGCAGAGGCCTGCCCTGGGGGTGGGAGGAGGGAGTTCCCTCTCGGACCCTGTCCTGTTCTTAGCACTCAGAGCAGGCCTGGGCTAAAAACCTTTTCCCTAGCACCATCCTCCTTCCTCATCGATCTTCCCTCCATATCTCTGTTCATGTCATTTCTGGTCCTGAAACCATAAGAATGTGTCTGGGTGGGAGAGGGTCAGGTATGGTCACTTAACCCCTGACAGGTCAATCCCTTCCCCTTTACCAGCTCAGACTGACCATGACTCTGACCCTGGCCCAGCCCTCTGATGCAGCCTGTGGACTCATGAAGTCATAACCAACAGCTTACTTTTTTCTGTCCTCAGAGAGCTGCAGCCATAGGCATCACCCAAGTGGTTATTTCTCGGATCACCATGGCAGCCCCTGGCATGAGTAAGATGGTGAAGCCCTCCCATCCTGGGGGAACCTGGCTCATGTGATAGAGACCTCAGCCACACTTGGGGTGGGGGGGTGGGACCCCAGCCTCTATAGGCATTCTTCTCAAACTGGTTTGCTTGAGTGTTGAGAGCCACTGGAGAGTCACACTGTAAATCCTGGAATGCCAGTTAATCAGAGATTTGGTGGAGAAAGTTGTTTTCATTTAACAAACATTTCTTAAGTTCCTTCAATGTGTTAGGGAGATAGTGGTAGAGAAAATAAGTTCCCTGCCCTGGTTTTGCCTCCAGCAGGGACAGGTTACAGAGCAGGATACAAAACTTGCTTCAAAGATGGTTGGTTGTGAGAAGGGTGCTCTGGGCCCATGGTATCCATCCTCCTATGGTTATAGGACTGCAGGTCGAGGAGTCTGGGAAGCATCTTCTTCTGGTACTTGGGGGAGAAGTGGATGTGGCCATGCCTATACATCCTTCTCCCCAATGAAAAGTATTTTCTGGAACTTCTGGGTAAGGAGGGGGAACCACTCAGTCTGTGATCTGACTTCAGAAGGGGAAGTGTCACAGCCTTTTGCCTGCCTCTTCCAGTTCTGCTGCCGGTCCTCATGGAAAGACTGGAGAAGCTGCGCTTCGTGCAGGTGAGTGGACTCTCCTTTGCACCTTCACTGCCTGGGGCCCCAACCACACCCGGGCTGGGGGTCCCTGACCCTCTCACCTTTCCATCTCATTCCCATCCCCGCACCGCACTCTGGGAAGGCCCCTCCCAGTGCCCTGGGATCTCAGCCTTGTCTGCTAAGAACAAGGAGACTCTCACCTCCCTCCGCTGCAGAGCCAGGGTTTCCTGCCTGTGGGTTTCTAGCTAGCTTGTCAATGTGGGGCTCATCTTGAAATATGTAAGTCCCATGTGGGTCTGTCTTTCGTCTTGTTTCTGCACAGAGAGTCCGGGTTCTGCACGCCCCTTTGCAGGTTCTGCTGTCCGGGTGCTTGTGAGTAACGTGTTTTCTCAGTTGGCGTCTGTGGTGGGGCACCCAAGATCTGTCTTCCTGTGTTACCCATGTGGGAAGACATGTACTCCTTTACCTGACTTCAAAAGCACCCAGGCTTGAACACCTGTGGCCCCTCTGACTCGTCCCAGCTTTCCAAGGGCGCTGTGCTGGCCCTGTGCACACACCAGGGTGGAAAGCAGAACCCTTGGGCGTCCTTCATCCCCAGGGTCTCCCCTCCAGCCTTAGGTCTGCAGTAGTTTTAGAGAAGAGACAAAAATGATAAGATCATTCAACCACAAAAGAGAAATAAGAATTATGTGAAATGACAGGGGGGTCAGCTCACACCAGTGGTGAATTTACACAGTATTACATGTCATCTTGGCTTCCCAGGTGGCAGTAGTGGTGAAGGACCTGCCTGCCAATGCAGGAGACTTAAAGAGATACGGGTTCAATCCCTGGGTTGGGAAGGTCCCCTGGAGGGGAGGGCATGGCAACCCACTCCAGTATTCTTGCTTGGAGAATCCCATGGACAGAGGAGCCTGGTGGGCTACAGTCCATAGGATCGCAAAAAGTTGGACATGACTGAAGTGACTTAGCATGCACACGTCAGTTATACCTCAATATATCCGAATACGGTGAGATGTAAAAAATGACACAGCCTGGGCCCGTCCCGTGTCCCAGCCTCGCACAGGAGGAAAGCACCATGACTCCCGGCAGCGGTCTTAGGTGCCTGCCCTGGACTGGACAAGTCCCAGCATTCATCGTGCTTTGTGAGGCCATGAGCTAATGACCACAACCTAAGCTCATGTGTATTGGATGTTTCCTGTGTGCCCCCACTGTGCTGATGTTTCATGTCTATAATTTCACCTGATTCCCTGAGCCCTCGAGGTATACATACAGTCAGCGTCTCCTTTCCCAGATGAAGAGACTTGCCCAAGCACCTCTAGTTGATAATTGCTGGAACTGAGATTGGATCCTTAATAAATCTAACATTATGCTAGACTGTCTTCCTTTTTTTTTTGGCTGTGCAGACTTTTCTCTAGTTGCAGTGAGCAGGGGCTACTCTCTAGTTGCAGTGCACAAGCTTCTCATGGCGGTGGCTCCTCTTGTTACGGAGCACGGGCTCTAGGGTGAGCGACTCCTGGGCTCTAGAGCACAGGCTCAGTAGTCAGAGGTGCATGGGCTTAGTTGTTCCAAGGCATGTGGGATCTTCCCATCAAGGATTGAACCCGTGTCTCCTATGTTGGCTGGTAGATTCTTTACCACTGAACCACCAGGGAAGTCCCCGCCAGACTGTCTTCTGCAAATTGATTTGCCACTGAGGGAATGGTTACCATGGGCTGGATGTGTCCCATGTGTTACCTTGTTTAATCCTCACAGTAACACTGCCGAGTAGGCACTCTTGCCTTCCCTCCGCTGGCTCAGAGGGAGCTTGCCCCAGATTGCACAAGAAGAACTGGGACTTGAACCCAGGTCTATTAGATTCCCAGATTCTGTAAAATATAGTCCTGGGCCCACATCCTCTGAGAACTTGAGAATAAAGATTCAAGCCCTTTCCTGGACCTACTGAATTAGCATTGCATTTGAGCAAGCTCCTAGAATTCCTTGTGTGCCCCATGAAGTTCCAGAGGCTCTGCCCTCATTGTTCTCCAACAGCCCAGGGGTTCAGCAAGTACTGGAGCCTGACCCTGAGTTCACACTCCTCCTGCTTTCCCCGAACACCAGAGGGCACCTATGGTCATGAGCGCCGCTGCTCACACTTCCTGGTGTCTCTATTCCCTTCTTCATCTGCTAGAATGACAGGTGGATGGGGGTGAGGGGTGCAGGGGGGCTGGTTTTATCCTGTGCTGGAGTAAGTCTCCAGGTACCTAGAGACCAGAAGAAGGGTTGAAGGGAGAGGAACTTTGGGTTCAGCTCCCCCATCCTTTGGGGAATCTCAGCCACGGGGTGTGGATGAGTCTGTGAGATGCCAGACATCCCCTAATGCTTTGGTTTCTCCTTTCTTCCAGTCTTATCTTCATGGTGCCGGTGGCGTGTGGGCTGTTCCCGCAGCAATGGTATCAGCTGTTCATTACCCACTTGTTTTTACTGAATTGCCTGTCCCTGCTCTTGCTGACCTGCCTGCTGTCCTGAAGAAGAGGGAGGGGCAGGCAGGGCAGCATCTGTCCGGGGACAAGTGTGAACTCTGTCAGTGTGAACTCTGGGCCTCTAGACTCCAGGTGAATGGGAAACCAAAACAGAGCTCCAAGGGGCAGAGGGATTTTGCTCACTCCTAGTGGAGCACAGGCTGCCTTGGAAAGATGGTAGGGGAACAGTAAGAGACTTCCTGTCCCTGCTGGTTGAGTTGTTAGACCCATCTCCCATGGCTGGATTTGGTCTTTGAAATCAAACAAGAGGGTAGGTACTCATTCTGGCTGATTTTGCCAGAGGGTGGATGCCTTGGACCTCTCAGCTTCCCTTGCGTGTCCTGGGAAGGGTGCAGGGGGTGGTTGAGAAGAGATGATGACAAAGGGAAAGGGAAGCATTAGACGGGTGTCAGGGGCGGGGGCAGGGTGGTGGAGAGGACTGACTCCAGGAGACCAGATGTAGCCTGAATGGATACGAGAAGACGCCCATCTCCCTTCTCCTAGTACTCCCAGCTCAGTAGTCATCTACACCTCTCCTGTGTTCCAATCACCGTGCTTGTAATCTTGGAGAAGGTAGAAGTTTGGCACCAGGGAGAATGAAGTCAGAGCTCAACAGAAGTAAAAAGCCAAAAAGTAAAAAGCAACATACTGTGCCCTATAGAAGCCATTTGTAATTCTGATGGAAAAATGGGCAAGGGCTTCTTAGAGGCGGCAACTATGTTGGATTTTATCTCAGGGAAATTTGCTGTCTGTCCAGGTGGCAGGCTCATAATGCCCTTCTCTCTTCTCAGTGAATTGCCGGTTTCCTATCTGGAACCTGAGCTCCAGGACACCATCAAGGCCAAGTACAGAGAACCTGTGCCTTATGTCTACTTCAATAAGGGCCTCTGAAGGCCTCACCCCAGCACGGACCAGTCCACATACCAGCTCACAGAGAACCTGTGCCTTATGTCTGCTTCAGTAAGGGCCTCTGAAGGCCTCACCCCAGCACGACCAGTCCATACACCAGCTGTGGATTCCTGTGCCTCATTCATTCCTCTTTGCTGACAGGGCCTGCAGGCCAGGGTGGATTCGGGGGCAAGGGTGGCAGTGGGAGGATGCCTCATGCTTCTACCCAGGTATCTGGGTTTATTGGACTCCAGGGGATAAAAGTGACCAAGGGGAGAGAGGCCAAGGCTTCTATCTGCTCTTCCCGAACCCCCATCTTCTGGAGACCAGGAGCTGAGGCCCCCTCAGGGAGAAGGTGCTAGGTCCTGAGGGTGACGCTCAAGTAAACCGTTTGGAATAAATTAGGAAACCTGAGATTCTGGTTCCAGCTTGGGTTGAAGAAGGGCCCCCCTTCTCTTCCTCCTCATCTGTTCTCAGTCAAGGGCACCCTTCCCGCCGGGGGGTGGGGGGGGTGTGTGTGTGGTTCTGGCTCCCTCAGAAAGAGGGTGGGGAGAGGCTGGGTCACTTTGGACCTCCTCTTTGTTCTTGCCCACTCTCCTCCCCAGGGCCCCCTGGGCAGAAAGCTTCTTTGGGAGTCTTGCTAACCTTGAGAGTTTTTATCAGGCACCCAGGAGTTTTTAGTGCCAACCCTCTCCCCCCTCCCAAAAAGAAACAGGACACAGTGAGGCAGCAGAGTTTCATGGTGCTTCAGACCCTGTCTGTTGACACTGGCTTTGTTCTCCTAAAATCATTATCTGATTCTGCTTCTCTGTGTCTGAAAGATAAAACCACTGACTGAGTAAAAAGGACATAGGTACGCATTAACCGCACGTTTCAGTGGGTATAATTTCCTGGCTGCCACCCTTCCTCAGCCCGTTGGGTTAAACACCAAAGAAAGACTGGTGTGGACTGAATAGGAAAGGGAAGTTTTATTTGGACGCCTCTGAGAGGAAACCAACCAGGACCAAAGAGCCTTAAAGGACACACGGCCAAGTGTAGCTACTCGCCCTTCCTCGCCAGGGTGCTCTAGGTTATTTTGGAAGCCCCTGAGGGAGAGGGGGCTGCTGTAGCCAACCTGGGGCCAATGTCTTTATGAGTTTTGTCTAGTAGAATTTACTGACTGATCAAAGGGTATCACTGTGAATCGAATACATTTCTTGAAAGAGCACAATGAACTGTCTGCACACTGAGTTAATAAAACCTAGATGGAAAGCAAGATCTGTTCTTACTTTGGGCTTGGCATGGAGGGGGGTATCACAACTCTAAGGGGAACCTGTCTGGTGCCCAGAGGCCATTGTTTGTCTCCCTTATTATGGAGGAAAAATCTACCTGCCTTTGCTGGAGGCTCTAGAGTGTTTCCTGGACTGAATGTGTTGCTTGAGGGTGAGAGCTGGCAAACCATGGCTTGAGGGTTCAGTTCTGCCTGTTTTTATGTTCCTGGGAAATAAAAATGGCTTTTAAATTTTTTAAAGGTTGTGAAAAAAGAAGGATGTGTGAGACTCTATGGGGGTTGCATGCAGAACCTAAAATATTTACTATTTGGCTCTCTACACAGTGTCCCCTACTCTGGGGTAATGGTTCCTAAGAAACATTCCTGAGATTCACCTGGAGGGCAGATTATAGGGCCCCCTCCCTAGAATTTCAAATTCTGTGGGGCTGGGATGGAGCCTGTGGATTTGTGTTTCTGGTAATTGTGACGCTGATACTGTTGTTTTGCGGACCACTTTGAAGGACCACTGCTCTGAAGGAAAGGGCTGCCTCCTTGAGGTCAAAGCACTGACCGCAGTTTGATTTTTCCCCCATTTAAAAAAATGAAAATACAATTCACAAAACATGAAATTCCTCCTTTGAAAGCATACAGTTCAGTGGTTTTTAGCATACTCATAATTTCATACAACTGTCATTATTCTCTAATTCCAGAATATTTTCGTTATTCCTGAAAGAAACTCTGTACTCATTAGTAGTCATTCATATACCCTCATCCCCCAGCCTCTGGCAACCTCTCATCTATCTTCTGTCACTATGGATTAACCTATTCTGGACATTTCATATAGATGGACTCACACACTATGTGGTCTTCTGTGTCTGACTTCTTTTACTCAGAGTATTTTCCAAGTTCAGCTATTCTGTAACATATGCAACTTAACTTTGGCTGATATCTGAGCAGAAAAGCCTGTGTCTTTGGAGCTGGCTTCCTTGGGACAGGAGATTTGCCTTCAGCTTTGCTCAGTTCCAAAGGCAAATAGGAAAAACATTACCAGAGCTGGCCAGAACTCGGCAGCAATTCTGAGCTGAGGTTCTTTCAAGAATCCACAACCTTCTTACTTTTCCAGCTCCTTAAGCCTCCTGGCATTCCTCCTTTCTTCATAGACAATTACTCTTGGAAAAGTCTGGAGTAGAGAGTGACTGCCATTTAGAGGCAGATTAAAAAGTTCACTCAAACTGCATCTCAGTTCGATCTTGTAAAAGCCTCCGATTTCTTTGAGTTGGCTCCTATGAGGTGTGGAACGAGGTGATGAGGGTGACTAAAATGCCTTGGTGAGAAGTTCTAGTTCAGATTGGGCAGAGTGTCATGTTTGTCCTGTCCTGTAGCTCAGTTCAAGCTCAGGTAAAGAGAGAAAGGAAGTTGAGAAAGGACAGAATCCCTTTCTGTTTGTCAAATTGAAACCTTTGGAGTTGCCTAATGATAATGATGTCTGGCCTTTTTTTTTTTTTTAATTAAAATTTTGTTGAAGTATAGTTGATTTACAATGTTGGGTTAGTTTCAGGAGTCCAGCAAAGTCAATCAGTTATACATGTATCTACTCTTTTTTAAGGTTCTTTTCCCATATAGGCCATTACAGAGTATTGAGTCAAATTCCCTCTGCTATACAGTAGGTCCTTATTTGTTATCTGTTTTATATATACTAGGGTGTATATGTCAATATCAATCCCCCAATTTATCCCATCCCCTGCATATTCCCTATTGATCATAAGTTTGTTTTCTGCATCTGTGACTCTGTTTTGTAAATAAGTTCATTTGGACCCTTCTTTTTTGTTCTTTTTAAAGATTCCACTATAAGTGATATATGGTATTTGTCATTCTGTGTCTGACTTATTTCATTGAATATGACAATCTTTAGATCCATCCGTGTTGCTGCAAATGGCATTATTTTGTTCTAGTTTTTTTAAGGAACCTTCATGTTCTCCATAACAGCTGTACAAATTTACATTCCCACCAACAGTATAGGAGGGTTCCCTTTTCTCCTCATCCTCTCCAGCATTTATTGTTTGTAGATTTTTTTTTTTTTTTGGATGAACATTCTGACTGGTATGAAGGAATACCTCATTGTAGTTCTGATTTGCATTTCTCTAACAATTAGTGATGTCAGGCATCTTTTTGTGTGCTTTTTGGCCACGTGTGATGACTTTTATGTGGAGGACTTAAAACTCCTTGAGGCCAGGATTGAGACTCTGCGCTAAGAGAATAATATGGCCCCTGACTATTATTCGATCTTTTCTTCTCCTCTAGGGAGTTTGATTGTGGAATGAATGCATTTCTAAGAGATTTAAGATCGGCAAAAATACTTGTCGCTCTTTGCAGCACTTGGGAAAGTAGGATAAACAGAGAGAACCCATTTCTTCACTTACTGTTTCCTACTTTGCCACCATTTAAGCCAAGAACAAACTCCCCTGGGCTCAGCTATGTGCTCTAAAATGCTTTGGCAGACTTTTGAGAGGAAATTGTCAGCTAAGGGAAGCTGGCTTGTCTGCTGCGAGTCTTCATTTGTTTATTTTCCCAGTATTGATTGAGCTCATGGTTGGGCCCTGTACATGGTTGTAGGGATTTCTTAAAAAAAAAAAAAAGAAAGAAAGAAAAATGAGTAAGACATGGTATGGCCATACAAAAAGCTATAAATTTAGTGGGAAGGGTCAGGCAGGTAGAAACTATACACTGTGTGGTGTTTTGTGAATCCAGAAGAAATGAGGGCGAGAACTGGGAATTTGTAAAGGGCAAACTGTATGTGTATTTGGGCTTCCCTGGTGGCTCAGATGGTAAAGAATCAGCCTGCAACGCAGGAGACCTGGCTTCCATCCCTGGGTTGGGAAGATGCCCTGGAGGAAGGCATGGCAACCCACTCCAGTATTCTTGTCTAGAGAATCCTCATGGGCAAAGGAGCCTGGCGGGCTACAGTCCATGGGGTCCCAAAGAGGCGGACACGACTGAGCTCATAAGCACAGCATAATGTGTAAATGAAGTTAAGTGTACTATCTACTGCCTAGCACAGTACGTTGAGGACCTCTTAACTGTGGGGAATGAGCAGAGTGCGCAGAAAACGTAGTGGCAGTAGGTGAGATAAAGAAGTATGCAGGGGCCAGCACACAGAAAGGACCATACTGATAAGTTTGGAAGATAAATTCTGTAGGTAGTTGAAGTATTTTGAGAGGGGAAATCCTGAGACAATGATATTTGCTTTTAGGTAGTAGAGCACCCTTGTTCTGACCTGTGAAAGGAATTCAAGAGGGAAGAATTAGTAACTGGCTAGGCAGCAGGAAGCCTGTCTTGTATTTAACCAGAAAATGAGAACACAGATTGAAACAGTGGAGCTATTTCTGAGGTCGAGTCAACAGAATTTCCTCCCTCAAGAACTTGGGTTGAGAAAGCACGCCTTAGGTAAAGATACTATCTGACATGGAATTCAAATTGACCCAAGCTGCGGCTTGAGCAATTTGAGACGAAGAGAGGGACCGACCCTGGTAATGGAGCTGTGCTTAAAGACAAAAGAGATCAAGAGATTTTTAGATTACAGTTGCCTTCTTCTTTGAGAGCGCCCGGTTACCTTCTAAAAGTAACTTATTTTCCAACACTCTTTAGAATTACCAAACCTCTTTGCTAAACCGTGGAAATCTAATACTTCCGCCACACTCAAGATGGTAAATATCGGACTTAGCCTTTTCAACCCACGTTTCGAATGGTCCCGCCCCCCGTCGGAGCTACTTCCGCCACTCTCTGCGGAGCGGACGCGTTTATACCGCCTCCCAGCACTCAAGATGGCCCGGCTTCCTCCTACTTTCCATTGGCTGAATTTCTCCGGTTTTCCGTCTTCATAAGGAGGCGGAACTTCGATTTGATCGACAGCTTTTTTAACCAATGGACGAAGGGCAAGGGCCAATGAAGCGTAGGAACTGGAGAACCACCCTAGTGTCTGGGAGGGCGTTTGGGCTGGGGCCGGGTGGAGCGGAGCCGGAAACGGGAGGGGAGAGTGAAACAGGAAAAGAAGGGAAGAAGGAAGAACAGGGAAGAGGAGGAGAGGGAGGAGGAGAAGGGAGGTGGCGGCGCCGTGGCGGAGGAGCAGGAGCAGGAGGGGGATGGCGAGGAGAAGGCTCCTGGGTGGCATGGCGCTCCTGCTCCTCCAGGCGCTGCCCAGCCCCCTGTCAGTCAGGGCTGAACCCCCGCAGGTAAGGGGGAGGGTCGTGTGGCGGCCTGAGGGGCCAGGCTGGGGGCTCGGGGTCGTCGAGGCGTGGCTGGAGGGGGCCTGAAGGAACGTTGTTACCAAGAGTTGCGGGCTCCTGAGACGGTCACCCATGCTTGAGTGGACAGGATCTGAGGGGGCGTCGATGTTTAGCCGAGGGACACCTGTGACGGTTTTGGTATCAGGGAGGAGGCAGAGGCATGATGCCAAGCGAGTTGAGGGGCGTTTGAGGCGGCAGTTCAGTCAGGTGGGCCGGGAATGATTGTGAATGGATAGTGGTATCAAGCGGGGTGTGTGTGGGGTGCGCATTCGTGTCCTCCAGTGAAGCAGGTCTGTGAGGCAGCGGTGCCGCGTGTCCGTCGGTGCGGGTAGGGGTACTTGGGTTATTGAGGCGGCCTGAGAGGGCGGTGGGGCTGAGAGGATACCTATTTCCAGCTGGATCGGGGTATGTTCTAGGGGCCTCTTGCCCCATTTTAAGTGGTGTTGGAGGCGGGACTGTCGGAAGGCAGGTGGAATGAAGTAGCCTGGGACCCCTCAGCAGCGGCGCACACCTGAGCTGTAACAAGTTCTTACTATTAGGCTGACTGGCCTGGGGAAGTCAGTGACTGAGGCTGACCTGGGCCAGCTCGGAGTTTGGAGCAAAGGGTGGTGCTGGTGCCAATACGGCCAACAAATGGAGCCCCCTAGCTTTTCTTGCTAGGTGGCCTGTGCAGATTTCAGCCGCTGCTGGCATTTCGAAACTCTTAATGGGAGCGTTACTCTT